TCCAGAAAATGGCCGAATTGAGTCATTTTGATGGCTCTAATATGTTCATCCAATATGCATTTCTTCATTTTCTCCACCTCGTTATGAAAACATGGTACTGCAAATCGGATGATAACCTATTTGTATTTTCTCCCCGGTTTGTAAATAAATACCACCAGTTCACATTACTCAAACAATAAAAAAAAACTAAAATATGCAACTTCGAGTAACTAAACAAAATGTACATCTACAAAATTAACAAAAATCACAAATTAAATAAATAAAATAATCCAAAATTGGTGCCAAAATAAAACACTCAACTCGGTGTATCTGGGCAAATATATGAACGATTTCAAATCCGATTAACAAATAAAACTACATCGATCACTTAGGGCTTCTCAACACCAAACCAATGCATACAAACACGGGACTAAGACTTACACCTCAAATAATCGAACAAACTACGGTATAATATCAAGGTCAACAAATCCAAACTTCTCAACAGATCTTACTTCTTCGAGCTTGTCTTGAGGGATGGGAGCGGTCAGCTGGTTTCTTCACATTTTTGCACCGAATCGGTTGTTACTTAATTGCCGGAGGTTCGAGAGCATCGGTTTGCCTACAGATTGAAGAAAAAGGGTTTAAAATCGGTGTGAGGGGAGTTATGAGAGGTTTCATGCCTTTACCCTTATTAAATCGTGAATTAATTATTTTTTTTTAAATTCACAAAAAGAAAAGGTACGCGATTTCTAACTAGAAGTATATAAGATTACAATAGAGGTAGAGCGGGAAGTAATATAGGTATATATTACAAAATTTGAAGTATTGATCAACCTATTTCGAGTACATGTTGCGTATATAACGGTGATTGAGGGAAAAATACACATTGGGGAGTTATAACAAACCTAATTCATAAAGTAGGGACTGCAGACTAACTAATTTCTAATAGGGACTGAATTGCAAGTATATTTGTCTGACAGGGATTTTAATCAAAGTTTCCCTAAATTATTTCTTCGTATAATATAATCACATTCGATTTCGACTATATCTACACGTCACCATCTATTACCGTCGCCTTCATTTTATGTCCTGAATAGACCAATGAGTCTTTGAATATCTCTTAATTTAAGTACTAGATTTTATTTAAAAAATTTGTATTATTCGATATATATATTTAAATAATGTGTGAAAATAATTTATGAAAATTGAAAAATTGCATTACGTTGATCATCAAAATAAAAGATCAGCAACATAAACAGATTCAATAGACTCAAATTTAAATAAGATAGATAACATCTAAATCTACTAAATATAAAATATTTCAACATCCCCTCAAATTATTTGATAAGAAAGTTGCATACATATGCAAAAACGCAAATAAAAATAGCAAATAAAAATAACAGTTGCTTGCTTGCCGCTGCTCCACCTTCTCAAAGGCAGAAACAATTCTTTTAACTGAATTAGAGAGTCGAAAACAACTAGACTCTGAAGAAACATGACAGACGGATCGCATACGCAGATAGAACTCTAAGTCTAAATGCAGATGAAAACCAAGACTCTAAACATAAAAATAACGACAAAATCTCAACAATAAAAAAATTGAAGACCTCCGGTACATTTCAGGATGAATGTACCAGAGAAACGTGGATTGATATACCAAATGAAAATATTTTACGAAAATTGAGATTATCAAAATAAGAAATCTATTATATATATAGGCAACATAAAACACTCAATAGATTCAAATCTAAATAAAATAATAAACCTAAATTTAAATATAAAACTAAATATCTCAACAATTTGTACTTAAAACTATTAAGTTACATATTCATACTTATTTCTATACATTTGTTTGCCAAAGAAAATTTAAGTTGATGTCGATCCAAACGGTTTTAATAATTTATCATTTTCTTTTACAACAATAATATTTATTCTTTTGATTTTATTTTTTTAAAAAATATATTATTATGGAAATTATTTATGAAAATATACTATTTATATTATTTGAATGTCACATCCAATCTGTTATTCAAATTTAAAATTAAAATTAAAAAAATAGATATTATTATAATATTATCTAAATCAATTAATGCTCCAAATGGCAAGTGCAATTTCGAATTAGAATGCTTTTTATTTTTATTTTTATTTTTTGTAAAATCCACCAATTATGCATGCCCACATCTTATTTTATTTAATTTTATTTTTTGGTTAAAGTTTCTTTTTTATGATGATAAAAAGTAAAATAAAACGTGTTTCTTTATATGTTTGGCCCCACTCACGTGCAACTGTTTAATTTCATTGGGATTTGATGTTTATGAATAATATAGAAAAATAAATAAATAAATCAAACAGTTATTATTTGGAGTGAGTATTCGGATTTTCGGTTCGAATTTTGTCAAATTCAAAATTCGAACCAATCGAAAAATTCGAAATTTTTTAAAAAATCAATTCGAACCGAATCGAAATAATCGAAATTCGAAATCCGAAAATTCGTAATCCGAACTAAAAAAATCCGAACCAAACTTAAAAATTCGAAATTCTAAATATTTTTATTATTATTTTTTAAAATTTTAAATTTCTTTTATATTTTATTATTATTTTATACTATTAAATATATATAATATATTAAAATTAAATATATTAAAATATAATAAATAAATTTGAGTTTTTTATATTAAAATATAATATTTTCTAATAAAATATTAAATATGTATAATAAAAAAATATATTAAAATGTTATATTCCGGATTTCGGATTGGTTCAGATTTTAAGTATACCGATCCGATCCGTTTCGAAAATCCGAAATTTATTAAAAATTCAATCCGATTCAGTCCGAAAATCCGAACCAAATTTTAAATTTCGATTTGATTCGGATTAGATTTTCGGATTTCGGATATTTTGCTCACTCCTGATTATTATTAGTAAGACAAATGGGAAGTTGTTATGCAAACCATGGTCACTCAAATGATTCGATAAGAACAATAATCAACGACTTCTTATGGGGAAATAATAATAAATTATTACTACTAATTTTGTAATGATCATAGAATTCGAAAGATTCTTTTGACTTGGTTAATTAATTAATTATTATATTTACTTCAATGCTCTATTAAATAGTCCTTTTATTTTCTTTGGTTCACATTGCTTTCATTAACTTTGCCAAATGGTTCTTTTTCTTTATATCGTATTTATTTAAGGTTTGGATATGATTCTATATTGTTTGTCACTTATTTTATATCAAAATTATCAAACTAAATATTTATTTTTTATTTAATATATTGTATTACAAACGGACAAATGGAGTGTATTTTATTGAGGGTGTGTTTCTTCATGAGATTTTGGGGAAATTTGAGTTTGAGTTTGGTTTTTATTTGAATTTTTATGTTTCTTTTGGGTTTGGGTTTGGGTTGGATTGGAGTTTGAGAAGTTTTGATGTGTATTGATTTGATAGGTATGAATATAATAATATAAATGTATAGTAATTTGTATAATTGAATTATAAATTTATATTATATTTATATATATTTTTTAAAATTTTTATTTATTTTTATTATAAAAAATTTTACTCTCTACAAAATGATATATATATATTGTATATATTTTATTAAATTATAATTATTATAATTTTTTTTATATTTATAATTTTTTTAAGAAAAAAAAAATCTGTCTCCCAAACCCCTTCCAGCCCAAAAGTGAGCTCGAGAAACAGACCATGAGTATTTAAAATATACTGTTTAAATAAAGAATGATGGATAGGGAAACATTTTAAGTAGTGACATTCTAAAGTCTTCGTGCATATACATAGACTATATTATACATTACAAATATCTTCAAATTTATATAAATTTACATCAATATCATTATATTAATTAACATGTCAAGAATAAAATATTTTTTAAGTATATATATTTATGGTTGTATAAATACTTTTAAAACAGATTGATGCAATAACTTTTAAATGGTATGGTTTGATTTAGCCTCCCATCAATTCCTAAAACATCACATCCAAGCCAAAATTTCATAAACAAACACATGTTCTAGATAAAATATTTATAATAAATAAGAAATATTGAAGTTGATACATATATATATATATATATGATTGTATATAAGACCAAAACTATATATTTTCATAGTTTGTCAGGTAAATTAAGAACATGATGTGTGTATCACAAACTTACAAAGAAAACAACCAATTTACAAAAGATGGATGCTCTAAGAAAATTAATTTAACCAAGAACAGTGACCCCAAATATACAGATGCAAAAATAATGAAATACAAACTTCCAAACCAAGTACTATGAATTGCAAGATGCATACATTCTTGCACAACTTACATATAGTTATGCAAAGAGACAATTTTATTTCTCTCTTTGTAGGAACCATCATATGATCATTAGAAACCGCGAAAATTTTCTTACAAACACCAGGTAAAGACAATGTCAATCTGAACCTGGATTTGGATTCGAAGCCTAGATCATAATCAAATCTTCATTGATCCTTCAATTGATATTTGATGGAAATAAATCGACAATATGGGACGAGACTAATCTGCCAAATGTAAAGTAGATAAGAGATAACTTTCACAAAAGAAATAATTTGAATGTAAATAATGAGCTGTCAATTCAAACGCCATGAATCCCTCGAATACCAAAGAACAGCGGCGACCATAAGTAACGCATAATTTTGAGGTTTCAATTCTTAAACAGAGGTTGTAACAATTTTTTATGAGACTTAATTTACTTCAGAGATGTTAAAAATTGCAATATTGAAAGAGTTTTTGACACAATGTTAGGCAAGGATATTAAGTCATTACTGGCGGTTGCTGCGATTCAAAGTGAAGCAATCTCATACTATGAATTTGAAGTTACCCAAAACAATAAGAAAAGAACTAAAAAAGAAAATGACATTAAAGAAAACGAACCAGTGGTCTTCTAACAGCTCCCCAGCATCGTCCTGACATTCCTCGCGTATAATATGCACAGCTGGAGCTTTACTAACCAGGGAAACATCCCTGTCCATGGTAGGTTCAGATTTGGTTTCATACATTCGGTAGGTTTGATTAAGACATGAATGAGAAGCAATAAGAAGAACCAAAAGGAATAGATATTGGGAAAATTGAAAATAGATGAAAATTTGTAATAGTGAAGTTATGAAAGAGAAAAATTAAAAGAAGAGAGGAGAAATGCTAATATCGAAATTTGTAAATAGATAGGCTCTGATTATCAAACCATTTGGATAAAGAAGAAGCTAACGACTCCTATACACGAATAAGGTTTTTATTTTTCATGCAAATTTTATTAAACAAAGTTTTTGAACTATACAAAGCTAGGATGATTCCCAAACGAACAAAGAATTGTTAACCGACTGGATGCTGAATATCCTTAATCCTTACATCCAAAAATGTATTTAGAAACAAAGGAGTGAATGGCTCTAAACTCAAACTATTCTTACAAAGTTCTAATGTAAGATGTTCAGCATCGATCCGCTACATCGACTTTAGAATGTTATAAACTTGTGGCGCAATGGCCAAGTCGCCATGCTCAGGGATTTTACATGTGATTAAAACCACGTAAAGCATGGACCCGCACCATGCTTTACCCGCACCATTAACCAAAGACAACTCAATATTCACCTCAAATTTGATGCATACCCACAAAATCTCCTAAAAGAAAGAGATGTAACCGATAGCCAAACATATCATAATCTATTGAAATAATGTTTCTAAGAGTGAATAATTCAAGCTGGCAGGTTCACAATAATGGCGAACACCAAAAAGCACAAGCATGTCGACAAACAAACCTCCTTTTAGACCAAAGCAATTGGGCGTACGGTATCACACAAGCATTTGTCACACGCCAACAGCTTCAACTGCAAATTCACAAATCATTCATATGAGAGTTTACAAGAAGGAACATACAATTTGATGAAAACATAAGGTAACTTATGAATTGGTATTACCTTCAAATGGTCTGCAATCTCCAACTGAGCAAGTATTGTGGCCCGAATTGCACATTTCCTCGAAAAGTTTCTGGTATTCTTCTAGATTGCCTTTCCTAGAAAGACAGCTGAGAAAAGCACTATAGGTTCTGGCCGAAGGAACAATTCCTGTTTTCGTCATTCTTCCCATGAGTTTAAAGGCTTCATTAGTCCTATCACTCTTACAGCATCCTTCAATCAAAGAGTTATAAGTGATGACGTTTGGAACTAAATCTTTGGAATGAAGTTTATGGAAAAGCCTCAGCGCACGTTCAAGGTTTCCGGATTTGCATAATCCATCTATAAGAGCATTATATGTCACTATATTTGGAATAAGACCCTTCATCACCATCTCATCCCTCAAGAGAAATGCTTCATTAACAGCCCCAGAAATGGCGACACTATGGATGAGGGCAGTGTAGGTGAACTCATCTGCAATGAAGCCTCTTTCTGACAGATCATTTATAATCTGTCTCGCATCACTGGTCTTCCCACATTTGCATAATACGGCGATAAATACATTATACAAAACATTGTTGGGAATGATAGACCCCTGAGTACTTCCATTTATGGAATCAGCAATTTTCTGTGTCTCAGTGCTGACTGCATTGAAGTTAAAACAATCGTAAAACTGTTTAAGATTTGGGACAATATCGAAATCCACCATTTTCTGCAACAGCATTTTTGCGTCGTCATTTTGTCCAAGCCTGTTTAGTCCACTGACAATGGTGCTGCATATATACACATTCGGAGCTATTCCTTTCTCTCTCATTTCAAAATACGCATCGAATGCTTTCTTTAGGTTTCCTTCTTTGAACCAACCATTAATAAGAGCTCCAAATGTGACAATATTTGGAGTTAGTCCTTTTGTATGAACCTCCGAGAGCACAGCAGAAATATCGCATGATTTTTCTGCTCTAAATAGTCCACTTATAAGTGAATTATACACTTCAATGGAAGCAGGAAACCCTTTTGCATCCATGAAAGCTTTAATTTCAAAAACTCTTTGAACATCACCAGCTCTACAGTACCCATCAATCAAGATCTTGTTAGTCACTTCATCAGTTGAAACACCTAATTCTTTCATCTTGTCGACAATTTTATCCCCTTCAATCATGTTCCCCATTTTACAAAACCCGTCGAGCATCGTGTTAAATAGTATTGTACTTTTCGTGTAGCCTTTTGCTAAAACATGTTTCCACAACGTCTTGGCTTTGTCAAACCTTCCCTTACTAAATAGGCCGTGCAAAAGCGTACTGAATCCAATCTCATTCGGAACCAAACCTCTCTTGAGCATCGACTGCCAAAGGCACAAAGCTTCATCTATATCACCATACTCACATAAACCTTTTAAAAGTATATTATACGTAATATTTGTCCGGGGCACACCATCCCTGCTCATTCGACTGCATAGTTTCATTGCATCATCCAACAATCCTGTTTTGCAATAACCATCCAACAATGTATTGTAGCTGTAACCATCCGGCTTAAAACCCCCTTCAATCATTCCCATCATAACTTGCTCAGCCTCACACAGCATCCCGATTTTGCAATAACCATTAATCAAAGAATTGAAAAAAAATTCATTCATCCTGAACCCGGAATTCAACATCTCATGCTGATATTTCACTGCATCATCCATCCTTCCAGCGCGACAAAACCCATCAATCAACACGCCGAACACCTTCTCATCCAAAATTATTTTGTCCCCTTTCTCTTCCTTTATCTGTCTAAATACTCTTTCCGCTCGATCCATGTCCCCAATCTTACAATATCCCTTGATCAACAATGTCCAAGTTACCACATTTTTCGAAACTCCTTGTACCCTCATTAAATCCAAAATTCGATCTACACCTTCCATATCCTCCATCCTCACATAACCATTGATCAAACTATTATACCCCACGACATTCAACTCCAACCCCAATCCCTCCATCCCTTCCACAAACTCCACCGCTCTAGCAACTTTGCCATCCTTACAGTATGCATCAACCATTATTGCACAAGTATGCACATCAGGAGCAACCCCAATTCTGATCATCTGATCATACACACAACCAATCGTATGATAATCCTTAATCTTCACTAAACTACTCAACAAAGCATTACAAGAACGCAAGCTCGGCAATCGACCGCACTCGTGCATTTTGTCGAACACGTACAGGGCATTCTTCACCAAACCCCTTTCTATATAAGCCTTCAAAATTATGTCGAAGACAGTACTGGAAAACCTAAATTCTCTATAAACACTAACCAATTCATCGTAAATCGACGAGACTGGGAGGTGATTGCTCTCGGAGAGCTCCACGAGAGCGCGCACGTGCGACCTTGTTTCTTCGAACATACGAGCATTGGATAAAATGTGAATGAGCTTGATGTGCGATTTAAAACCCGGTCTGAAGTAGTTCTGCGTGGAAGCTAGGTCGAAGAAATGAATAGCGGAGTTGGGGTGGAGCTTGAGATGCTTGAGGACGGCGTCGAGAAGGGTGTCGGAGAAGGCGAAGCGGAGGCTCTTGAGAGCTTCGAAGCGGCGGAGGATTAGGAGGCGACTGATCTGGGCGGCGAGATTCAGCATATGGCCTCCCTGCGACGGAGGGCATTTGAGGCGGCGGCGGAATCAACGTTCACGGCGGAGACAGAATTGGCGCGGGCGACGGCGGGGACTATAGATTTTTACAAAATTTGTGTCAATAATTAGAAATTTTTGCGCTTTTTTTTTCAAAATTAAAAATGAATATTTTATATATATTTTATGATATTTAATACTTTTAATTATATATTTACTTTAATTATTCAATATTTTTAATAAAATAATTTATTATTAAAAAAATATAAATATACATTTGATTTTTTTTAAATAGATAATATATACATTATATTAATATATACATTTATATTATTTTTAATAATATTTATAGTGAGTTATTATATTAAAAAATATTTAGTGAATATGCACCTCATTAAAAAAACAAAAATCAGTCAAATTTGTTATAAAGTTTATATAAATTTATTGACTTTTTAAAAATTAAAATAATAAATAAATAAAGTCATTGTTAGTTTAATATTTTAATTTAAAATTTTTATTTTGATTGTAAATAATAAAAAATTATGTGAATTATATAAAAAATAATATTTTATATTGAATAATATTTATAAAAAGAGGATACCAAAATCCACAGAAAGCCTCGTGAGAAGCCCATAGAATGTAAAGGACAATCCAACCCACTGAAAGTCAGATTATTTTTTTCATGCAATTATTTCTCTTAAAATAAAAAAAAAAAAAAAAAAAAAAAAAAAAAAAAAATCTACAATTTGTAGTTTTTATTAAATTTCAATATTAATTTTGAGCATTCCGATTATATCAATTAATATTATTATTCTTTCTCTCTTGCACAACTCAATTTCTTAAAATCTACTTATAGATGTGACATAGACTTACATAATAAAAAATAATCTAAGAATAAATAAAAATCTTGTAGACTCCGACAATAACTAAAATATTTGAACATTCCTTCGAAGTAAAAGAGTGTCGTATAAACAATTTAAATTTGTAAAGAGGGATTGATAATTTGGTATACCGAAATTTTTAGTATACGTCAAAATATTCAATTTACATATTGTTACCGTACGAAAAAAATATTTGATACGGTATCATACCGTCTTGAAATTTTGATATTTTTGATATTTTTTTATACGGTATTTCGGTATTTCTTTCTCACCGATAATCTAAAGAGCCCATATTTAAGATGTATTTTGTTTGTTTTTTAAACATAAATTATTACTCTATTTGTCTCAAACACCTTCCAATATTTCTTTTTTTTTTGTCCAAAACTTACCGTAACATTTTCAAATTTAGAAATAATTAATTATATTTTTATATATAAATATACACTTCACTTTATTTCATCGCATAAGTCAAAAAAAAATAAAAATATATATTTTCCTCTCCAATCACATCATCTAATCTCCAAATTATTTTAAATTATTCTGCTTATTACTATCCATCTAAATTTCTGTGCCAAACTCATATATTGCAAAATATATGGAACGGAGAAAATACTATTTATCATGCATGTTAATAATAAAAATACACTGCTATATCACATAAAATACTACATCAAAAATACTATCTAAACCAAAATTCAAATGAAAACCTCGACTTCAAGTCAAAACAGAACAAATCCTTAATACTGCATCCGTCCCATTGAAAGATTATCATTTTTCATTTTCGTCCGTCCCAAAACAAGGTTACAATTTCTTAATTTAGTAATTGTATTATCTGCATAACATAATAAATATCCTTCAAACTTACACTATATTAAACAAATGTCATTACTTTTATATTACACAATACTAACAGGGGTATTTTCATTTTTTTCACTATAACCCATTATAAAAATCGATAACAATTTGTCTCAAAAAAACTATAAAATGAATTATTAATCAATTATTTATTTATTTATTTATTTTATTCAGAAAAAATAATTAAAATATTTTACGTTTTTTATTTGTATAAAACTTGCGTAATTTAGGTCTTTATTTAGAATTAAATATCAGTTTTGGTCAATGAGGGGGGTTTCGTACAAACTTTACAATAACATAAGGGGGTTTCACGCAATAAATAGAACACAAGGTGTTTTGTCCATTTTTACTAAAACACAATAGAGTTATATAATTTACCCTATTTTCAATATCAATTACTCACTCCGTCCCATAACAAAGTATACATTTTTTTCATTTTAATCCGTCTTATAACAAAGTATCTATTTCCTTTTTTAGTAACTGTACTATCTACTTAACATTACAAATACCCTTACAACTTACAATATATTACACAAATGTCATTACCTTTATACCACACCATACTAATAAGATTATTTTAGTCATTTCTACTTTATTTCTACTACATCTCAATATAATACTAATATTTTTAAAATTACGTGTAAAAAGCAAATGAATATCAAGTTATGGGACGGAGAGAGTATTATTATTCTCAAAATATTCCAAATCAAATCTAGAATAGAAACAAATGGTGTGTTTGTTTTTGGGAGTTTGAATTTTAAGTTGGGATTTGAATAGTAAAAATTTTGAATTTGAATAGTTGTATGATGTGATATAAATAGGTGATGATACGATGTTTTGAATGTAAAATTAATTTTAGTATAATATAAAAAATAAAAAATAGGTATTTGATTTGATGTTTTTAGAAGAAAATTTTTGGATGAACAGTGGGATTTTGTCCAAATCCATAAATATGAGAAAATCGTAAAAAAGTGAAACTCAGATGAATCTACAAATAATTTGCACAATTGCATTGCAGTAGTCCATCTTCCATTGAATTTAATAAATTTCCCAAACTGTTATGACCTAAGCTTTCACGTAATTATATAATATAATATGATTAATTAAGAATGAAAGAAAAAAGCACCAGAAATTCTAGATAGATATGTTAGGTAGAAATTAAATGAAGGGTAGATGAATTATCTAGATATTATTTTTTTTAATCTTCAATAATTTTTTTTTGTCGGATATCAGAATTGAAATTTTATATAAATGCTAGTTAGTAGATAGGATGGGCTAGGTGTTAGCATATATAAAAAAAATAAAAATAAAAATAAAAATAAATAAATAAATAAAATGACTTCGTTCACTTAAGGGTGTGTTCGTTTGATGGATTTGGATAAAATTCTACTATTCATCCAAAATTTTCTCCTCAAAAACATCAAATCAAACACCTATTTTTTATTTTTTATATTATACTAAAAATCGATTTTACATTCAAAACATCACATCATCACCTATTTATATCACATCATACAACTATTCAAATTCAAAAGTTTTACTATTCAAGTCCCAACTCAAAATCCAAACCCCCAAACAAACCTATTTAAGGTTTGAAATTGATTTTAAAAAAATACTTATTTATTTAAATTTATGTATAAATAGCATTTTGCCGTAATGTTTTGTGAAAATAAAAAATATATATTTATATATGCAAAAAAATTATAGAATAAATAATACTAATTTTGACTTGAAAAAATAAAAAAAAACAAATTATATGTTTTCATTTAAAATGTTGTTGTTAAATCATACTTATAAGATGTATTCTATATATAAATATATACTTTCTCCGTCTAACTTATATTGTCTTAAGTATATTTGCACAGTTTTTTAAGGTGATCGTCTTTTTATTATGAATTGACAAATTTGTCCTTAATTGTATGGTATAGATTAAAAGTAATAAATGAATTAAGGGTAAAAATATAAAATTCGTGTTTAAAAAAAAAATAGGACGATAGTTATTGGACATCCCAAATAAGAAAATAGGGCATTAGTTCATGGACGGCGGGAGTATCTTTTTAATGAAATTAATCATAATATATGTTGTAAAGACTATTATATATATTTATGTGCTTTGTTTATATTATACTAATACAAACATTGTGGTGTTAATTCTGTTCAATATATCGTCAATACGATACTGAATAAATGTATCCATATCACTAGTAATCTCTCTTGAAATTTAGGGTGTGTTTCTTTTGATGAATTTGGATAGTGTTTGATATGATATTTTGTGAGAAAAAAAAAAAATCGAAGAAAACACACAAAGTCCAAATAATAAAATTTGAAAAAAATTTGCTAGAGAAACATACCTTAATTGTTACAATAGTTCCAAATCTATAACTATTACTTTTAAATAGACAACATATTATAATTAGACTCAACATATAAGGTATATAAAAATGAAACAACTTTAAAATGTAAATTGATATTCCATCTGTCATGTAAATGTGTGCTCATTGGATTGGACACGGGTTTTAACAAAAGTGAGTAATATTTGTTATTTTTTCTCTTTTATAGTAAAAAATATACAAAAGTGTAATAATTTTTTAGTTAAAAAAAAACGAGAATATTTTTTTATGACAACCGAAAAAGAAAAGTGCATATAGGTTTGAATGACAATGAGTACATTAAGAATAATCATTTTAAATTTTAAACATATATTGTATTCTTTCAAAGTTATATGCTGAAAGTCTATATTTTATATGTTGTTAGCACAATATTAATTAATTTAAATCATCACCCCGTATTATTTAGGTAGGTCCTTGTATATATTGCGATGTATGCTCATAGAAATATATAATACTTATTCTGTCTGTTTTTTAAAGTCATATTTACCTTTTGTGTTATTGTAATTAATATTAAAAATATCATTATATTTATATATATATATTTTTGTACAAATGTTCTTATATTGGTATTAGAATATACTAATTGAAGTATTTTTGCAATTTTTTTTTAATTTGTATTACGTTTTGATATAATAATTAATATTTAAATATCAATACGCAAAAAATAAATGGAATCCTTAGAGCCGGACAGAGATAATATTATTTTCCTTAATTATATCACCATTCAAAATTGTAGTGTACCCTATGCAATATATATTCTCGTATGTTCCAATCTTAGAATAGATAAATAAATAGGGAAAATTCAGCACCGCAACATCCGTAATATATAGAAACAGTACAAAGTTTTATTATATACAATACATGTTGTTTATAATAATAGCAGGTGATGTTGCTTTATAATTATAGCGTGTTGTATAACGGTATGTGGTGTGCTGAAATTAATTAGTATTTGTGTTGTATAAAACTATAGCATGCGTTGTCAGTTCATGTGTTGTATGTTCATAATA